ACTCTTTCCTATGGTAGCCTTGTAATATGTTGTTTTGCTGTGTGTGAATACTGAGAAAGCCCTGTCTAGACAAAGTATGTCTAGGAATTACGCTATTTCTCAAAGTACCTACTATGTGCTGTGAATTTTACTAGGCAATAGGATACACAAAAGTCAGGAGTTTTTCTTGCGAATTTAGTTACAAACACCTTACTTGATTTTTGGGTTCTTAACTCATTAGGTGGGCTTTTGAAAATCTTACAGATAAATTATCTGATCAGTTTTTTTTACGTTTCTTACAAAGCGCAAGCGTTTTAGTTGATTTGTAGTATCAGCTACAACATAGGCATTGAATTTCATGTTTTTTTTCAAACAAAAGACTTAACAGCCTCTTTATTACATGTATAAGATATATTTTAATTGAAAATAGCTTATAGGATCTACAGGTGATTTCAGTAAAGAAATATATACCGAACACGTTGGGTTCTTTTTGTTTTTTCCCTAGGTTTTTGCTGCAGTTAGTTTCTTCCGCATCTGTTCTAGATCACACACCTGTCTCTTTAAATGTGGTGGAGACAAACCCTTTCAAACACCTTACACATCTCTCTCTAAAATTCCTACCTGGAAACGATGCAGAAATAAAGAAGTTTTTAGCAAGCTGTTTGAAATGCCTTAAGGTAAAGTGAAGATTTGTCATAGTTGCATCTGGGCCCTGATAACGTATGTATTGAAGCAGTAAGACTGAAAACATGCTTACGATATATCAAATTGTGTGAATCGTGTTCTGGTTTGTTTGTTTTTTTAATAGTTCACGTATGACATTGCATGCAGTTATTTGGGTATGTGTTATAAAACTAAATCGTTACTGTAGCCATGAAAATATTACACAACTAAGCGCTGTAATTGGAACTGGCAGAAAATCAAGTATTTTACACGTGCAGGGCATGTAATAAGCAGCTGTTGAATGCTTTAGCATTTCTTACTTCATAGCCTTGTGCTGATTGTCAGTCCAACTGCAGAAGTGAAATACCATGAACTTCAGACTCTTAATTCTGCAGCTGACTCGAGGGAAATGTGTGTGTATAGTTCTAAAGCGTTATGGCCTTCAAAAGACTAGTCTCTCTCTAAACAACAAATGAAAATTTTAAAGTTGATGCAGTTGATACCATGCCAGGTTTTGTTTAATAATAAATTAATGATCTCATAGTTGACAACCCCTTTGGCTATTGTCTGTATTTCAGTTTCACAGAATGGGATTTGTCTCTTCACCCTGCTGCAATGTTTATAGCTACCTGATAAGCTATTGTAACAAAATAAATTTACAGTATTTCTGCTCAGGTTTCTTCATGCAACACGTTGTAAGTCTTTATCAGATCTGTTTCCTTATAGAAATTTGATAAGGGTTTAATTCAGGATTTTTTTACCATGTCAGCTAATTACTTTTTTCTCTTACATTTATGAATTATATCTTATTCAATATACAGTTTATTTTTAAAAGATGTTTTGTCACAAATACAATGGATATGTGGTTGCTTAGAAAAGGTATGCTGATACAATGGAAGCTAAACACTTTTTCTGTTTTGGAAGCTAAAATACAAGGATTTGAGTTGATGTCAATTTATATATAGGAAGACAAAGAGATGTTGGAACAAAAGCTTAGAAAAACTGAAGAGGACTTTACCAGACAATTGAGCTATACTCAGCAGGTAATGTAAATTTTATCTTTCCTGTTTAAATTTGTTTGTACTTTACAGTTTAGATGAACTGCGCTATACATGAACACATATGACAAACTGTAGAATTCCAGGAGGAAAATCGATTTAAAAAAAAATTGTATTCTACTTTGGTTTTTTTTCCTATATTTGTGCTTTTAAACCCTGTGGAGAATGTACTTCTTGTGGGCTGGTTGGCTGTAGGGATTAACCACTGCCTAGCCACAACTGACTTGGGAGTAAGGGGGGGAGAAAAAAAGCACAAGAACAGTCTGCTGTCACTTTTCTTAAGTGAAGCATACAACTGAACAAAAACATTTAGTTTATATGGGGGGGTGTAGATACACAAATATTGTGTATATGTATGCTATTGTAAAGGCACGTGTTCTCTACAAATTCTATAAATGGCTGGAAATCCTTGTATTTGCAAAAATTGTGAAACCGTGATAGATGAATCGGAAGTCTTGATGTTACATTACTGTGCCGCTGTTTGAATTCATAGTAGGCCCAGCAGTGACTTCACATTTGTGTTTAAAGAGGACAATAGTTACAGGTCAGGGTGATTTTTTTGACCACCGTGAAACAGAAAAATTCCATTGATACTCCCCTTTTGTAGCTTTTTTGGGGGGATGGGATATTTAGCTAACTCATTTTTTTTACAGCTTCTGTGCAATTGGAGCTTGTACTTGCTGAATTGGAATGCAGCATCACAATTTTAAAAGAGAAAAGATGCTGCTGTTTTTTTTTTTTTTTTTCCTATCTGCTAGAGCACTTTGTATTTAAAACTCCTAGACTATATAACGCTGGGGACTCTAGGCAGACTGTTTTTTACTCTTAAGTAATGAGTAGAAGATGATAAAATTGGGAATGAAGATTATTTTAACCAGAATGTCAGAAAGATGCTGCTTAGCTTTTCAGTGTCTTACTTTCCTGCTTATAGAATGAACATATATTTTATGGTTCAGACTTTCTGTAATAGCTTCACGTCCTTGTAAGAAGCAACGTAAAGAGTCATTCAGTATTGATACTTAATTTTCAAGGCTCTCTGTGCTTTGTCAAACAGAGCTTGTCAGAGAAGAGCCAAGAACTAGACAAACTGAAAAATGAATGGACAACGTATACCACAGCTCTAACACATACACACACGCAGGAACTGACAAATGAAAAGGAAAGAGCTCTCCAGGTATGACAACAGAAAAGAATCAACAATATTCTTATGCATCAATAATTTCTTGGTTTAATTTTCAGATTCATTGGACAACTGCTTAGTTTGCTTTGCTTCTTACTATAGGCACAAGCTCAGTACCAGCAACAGCATGAACAGCAGAAAAAGGAATTAGAAAGTTTGCATCAGAAGAGTATTCAGCAATTGCAGAACAGACTCTCAGAACTGGAGGTCATCAATAAAGATCTAACAGAAAGGAGATATAAAGGAGACTCCACAGTCAGAGAACTAAAAGCAAAGCTCTCTGGAGTAGAAGATGTATGGCTTATTAATTTCCATAACCAAAGTTACTTTTCGAGCATTATTTTTAGAGCTCTGTCTGCTTAAATGATGATTACAGACATCTAATTTTTAAAAATAGTTCTTCCCAACGTTCTAGGAATGCCAGAGAGCAAAGCAGGAGGTGCTGTCACTGCGTCGGGAGAATACTACTCTGGATGCTGAGTGTCACGAAAAAGAGAAACTCATTAATCAGTTACAAACACGGGTTGCTGTTCTGGAACAAGAGATCAAAGATAAGGATCAACTGGTTGTTAGAACAAAAGAAGTATTAGATGCAACACAAGAGCAAAAGGTTCCTTTAAGTTTCAAAATAATTCTCTCTGAAGCTTTGTAAACCTTGTTAACTGCAGCCTCTATAGATTACCAAATTTTATGAATGTAGCAAATTTCCAAATGCCATTTAAAGATTCTAAATTTTGGCATCAAAAGTATCCTGGATTAATTTTGACAAAAGTAGATACTGCTTTAATGTTTTGCGCTACTTAAGGAAACTTACAGTAGTACATCTTGTAAACAAGAAAAAAATATGAATCAGGAGATCCCTATATCATTTCTTTGAGAAACAGTACTGAATTTGTTGTAAAGACTGCATTAGTGCTCAAAGAATTATTGAAGTTCTATTTAAAATAAGAAATGATATCTATCACGTGTCTGTCACTAGCACTACAAAATCTTCTGCCTTCTTTTAAAGGTGATACTGGAAGAGAGTACAGAAAAGAAACAAAGTCATATCGAAAAACTTGAGACAACAATTAAGTCACTGTCAGCTGAACTTCTTAAGGTTTGTTTGACGTGTCGCTATCCTTGTGAAAAGTCTTCCTTTATTTTTAGGTGTTACTTATTTTCAAAATATCTGATGGTTTTAATAGGCTAATGAAATCATCAAGAAATTGCAAGGAGATTTGAAAACTCTAATGAGTAAACTGAAATTGAAAAATACAGTAACAATTCAGCAAGAAAAGCTGTTGTCGGAAAAAGAAGAGAGACTTCAAAAACAGCAGAGAGAATTGCAGGAAACTGGACAATCTCTTCAAATGAAAGAGCAGGAGGTATTGTGATAGGTTAACCCTCTCTCTGTCCTGTAAACACTTGTGTGTAATGTGTGGATTTTTTTTAAGCTTTAAATATTCATATACAGGAACAGTCTTAAATTTTTCAGATTCCTCTCCTGTCAGTTAACACATTTGTTTAAATGTGTAATTGCGTTTTTTTAGTGATAAACTGATTTATAAAAGACCTCCATCCATATGGAAGAAAACTAAAATTGCATTGCTTGGCGTACGAATTAACGTAACAGAACAACATGCTTTAGAGGGCATGTTCAGGTGAGAGCTGGTGAAGGAGAAAAGAACAGGAACAGTGAACTTACTTGTCTTTCTCCCCTTAAAGATACTCCCCTGCCTGAGATCCTTCTGACATCTAACTATAGAAAAATTAAGGTTGGAAAGGTCTCTGGAGGTTACCTGGCTGAAAGAGTTTATTTTAAAAGAATCATCATGCTACTTTTGTATAAAACTGCGTTCAAATTTCTGTGAATAATTTTAGAAGAACTTTTCAGATTTTTGGCTCTTTAACTTATACTATCATTTTGCTTCAGTTTCTAATAAATAGTAGTTCTTGATGGTGTTATAATAAGTATGGGAACATTGCAGGTTTGCAAGCTACAAGAACAGCTAGAAACTACAATACAAAAATTGGAAGAAAGTAAGCAGTTATTAAAAACTAATGAAAATGGTAAGTTTATATCCCTTCCTTTCTTGTGTAGAACAATGTAATAATTGTTACTGAAAATTAAGGGAAGGTGAATTTGTGTGTGTGTGTTTTTTAATAGCTGTGATTATTGTCAGTTTAGCAAATAAGCTTGTTTGCAGTGGGTGTGCAGCAACCTAGAGCTGCACAAATACTTGTTTGCAGTTGGTGGCTGTGGTTGCTTGGGGGTTGCTGGG